CTGCTGCTGCTGGCTCTGCTGCTGCGTCTGCTGCTGCTGCGGGCTCTATTGGCTCTGCTGCTGCTGCTGGCTCTGCTGCTGCTGCTGCTGCTGCTGGGGGCAGCACGCAAAAGGCCCTTTTAACAAGCACTGTGGGGTACTGCTGCGAAATGGCGCGCGAAAAAGCAGCAGCAACTTTTCTCGCTTCCTCCTCAGGTGTCTCCGCAGCTCCCCCAGGTGTCTCCGCAGCTCCTTCGGGTGTATCTCCAGCTCCCTGCGGTGTATGTACAGCTGGCTGCGGTGTATGTACAGCTGGCTCGGATGCATGCACAACTGGCTGCGGTGTCTGTACACCTGGCTCGGATGCATGCACAGCTGGCTGCGGTGTACGTACACCTGGCGGGGGTGTAGGTGCAGCAGTCTGGGGTGTACGTACACCTGGCTGGGGTGTATGTGCAGCTGTTTGGGGTGTACGTACAGCGCAGGGGATGTGGAGGGCGAGGGCCCCCAAGACCTGTTTGTGGAGATGGAGATCAGCCCACTGGCTGTTGGGGTACTGCGGGGTGACGAAGGAGAGGGTCAAGTGGCCGCTGGGGGGCCCCCCGCTGCTGCTGCTGCTGCTGCTGCTGCTGAGGAAGGGCGCGGCGTAGGGGTCCCCGGGGGGCAGCAGCAAACTGGAGAGCGGCAGGGAGGAGAAGCGGCGGCAAAGGGCCAGGCAAAAGAGGGCCGCAGAAGAGGGCGGGGTGGCTGCTGAGGGCTGCAGCACCACTAGGACCCTCCAGGCGTCGCGAAGGGAGGCGTCGGGGGCCCCACAGGTCATTGGGGCGCTCTCAGAGGCAAAAACTCCAAGAAAAACTCCTTTTTGAGTCTTTTTCAGAATTTTTTCGAAAAAATCCGCCGAAAAAGCCCCAAAACGCCCCCAGGCCGACTCGTCAGCTGTACAGACACCCCAGAACCGCTGCATGCGCTAGCGCCCCAGTCCGCGACCCCGTCTCGCCTTTTAAACCATTTCTTTTCAATAATTAAATATTTTCTCCTTTTATTTATATATTTTAACTTCTTTTGTCTTTTTTAAAAAGAAATCCCGCCCCCAGAGCCCTCGGGCCCCCGCGGCTCGGCAGTCTGCGCAGACACCCTGTCGCCTGCGCGCTCGCTCGGGAGCGGCTTTTCGCGCTCTTTTGCGTTTCTTTTGTCTTTTATTATTTAATTGGAGTTTAAATAAATAATTAATTTCATTTATTTGTCTAAATAAATACATTTTAGCGCTTTTCACGCGAAAGTGACCCCTGTGCGCCGCCCCCCCGCCGCCTACTGAAGCCAGACTGCCTTCTGCAGCAGCTCTTCACTTCTTTTTGAATTTGTTTCTTTTTACCTCAAATTACTCTTTAAAATTAAATTATTTTTTTTTAATTTATTTTTATTCCAGGCTGAGGCCTGCAGGCCCGCGATTTGGGCTGGAGGGCTCTTGTTGGCTTCTTCTAAGCTGTATCCAGATTCACAAGAAGCCACAAACACGAATAAAATAAAACAAATATGAAATGATACTAATGTAAATGTAAATGAACAAAAATAAGTAAAAATAAATGACTAAAAATAAAAGAATTAATATGCATGCAGACAAGAATATCCAGGTCTACATATGCATGCCTGTATGTACACCTGCGTGTTTACGGAAACGCCCGGTGTATGTACACCTGGATCTCGACAGCTACACAGATTTGAAGCTGCAAATAAATGCATTTTTAATAATTATATTTCATTTAAGAAAAGGAAACTGCGGAAGGGCCGCGAAAACATATTCATTTTAGCGCTTGATGCACAGGAGTACCCAAAAGCACAGAAATATATACACCGATTCCAGAGCATGCATGCATGCATGCATGCATGCATGAACGCGAATGTGTGTTCATAATTTTCATTTTCTAGAATAGTTACCCTGGCCGCATGCAGAGCCAAAGGGCTTTTACAAATCCATTTAGAGGGCTTTAAAAGGCTCAAATATCTATTTTTTCTTTTTTACTTCTGACTTTTAAGATATTTAATACAATAAAGAATAGAATAAATATAACATTTGCAGCATCGACCAAGTGTACGTACACCTGAGATTGGAACTTTTGCCCATGCACATCTTTGTGGCTTTTCGTTTTTACATGAAACGCTTTAAAGCTTTTCTTTTTCTTTTTGTTTCTCTCTATTCCGGACTTGCATAAATATGCCTTTCTCTGCATGCATGCGCATGCAAGAATAATACATTTTATCTCCAGCATGGAAAGGCCTTTTTGCGCATGCATGCGCATGCAAGGGCACACGCATGCGCATGCAAGGGCACTTTTGTGTACATACACTTCAATTTCCACATAAATGTGTTTAAAAAGATCTGCAAAAACGCATAAATATATTTAGAATATAAAAATATATTTATTTGCCTTTTAATGGATTTATATCTGTAACAGATTTGCCAAAAATTGAGAAAAAGTTTTCAATTTAAAAATGCGCCATTAGGCGCTGAGGTGTACAGACACCTCAGCAGGCCACGGCGCGCAGGCCACAGCAGCAAATTGACTCGAGCTGATTAGAATTAAAAATTGAAATATTTATTTTAATTTTTGATTTAATTAAATATATTTCTAAAATATAATTTAAGAATCGTTTCGTGCTTTCCAAAACTGGAAGAAGGCAAAGCCTGCGCAAGCTGGAGCTGCAGCGCACCCCCAAACCCTAAACCCTAAACCCTAAACCCTAAACCCTAAACGCTGAACCCGAAAGCCTGGGCCCTAAATCCTAAACCCTTGAAACAGCAGCATCCACGCCACATGGGAAAAAAACATGCC